AGAGAGAGAGAGAGAAACTTGAATTTCGTAATATATTGCGTATCACTGCCAAGACACACTAATCTCACGCGCTAGCTACAAGACAAAATACTTTTGTGAGCTTAATCTCATTAAAAAGACATTTTTGAGTGGCTACGAATAGAAGCATCCTGCAAAAATATTTTATGGCTGAACCAAGTTGACTTTGCAAAAGTCCTATAATCGCTCTACCTGTACACAACAGCACGTCTGTGATGGCAATTTGCAGTGTCGATTGGGACGAAACCTGATTCCACTTGAAAATTATTTATATTTGGCCTGAAAGTGTGCAATGGGGGATTCGTCGACAAGTTTCCCCAGCCAGCGAAAAGTGATAGTCGCTAGTCTGCTGGATTATGCTTGTTTGGTGTATCGTTGAGAGAGCACCACATGCTTCACGGCACCGTGCTGCCTACTTGATGAACCGTTGCCAAACTCTCGTCTGTCGTGTAACAGATACCTACAAGGCACAACCCAACAGAAGTCTAAATAAAGCAGACAGCCGAGGGGAGACCAAAAGACCCGGTTACCTTGAGTAAAATTAGTTTGGAATTGGTTGTGTTGCCAAGGCGACCTCGGAGAAGACGTCTTGTCAGGCGCCTTCTGCCCTTGTAGTCATGATAATTTCCAGCATATGACCACGGATTCGGTATACTCCCAGACGTCAAAGAGACAGGAAGTTGTGGCCTTGCGCTAAGAATGGCAAAGTTCAGGGGAAACACCGACCAAGGCGCCGGCAAAACGTCTGGGAATGTACCAAGTCAACGTAACGACGCTGGATAAAGTGCGTTCATCGGGGTCGCTCTGACAAATAGGACCAAGGGATGCACTAAAGCCTGCCAACGAGCGGTGAACAAGCACACGAAAAGTAGAGGCAAGCCGTAGACGAATAGGAGAGGGGTGGGCAATTGATGCTGCCGGTAGACAAAGACAGGACGGGGCGGCCAGAGTGAAAAGTAGATCAGCCGGTATGGCCAGATTGTCTGTTCTACAGACGACAGCCAAGCGGCATCGGTCGTGTGAAGAGAGGAAACGTAGACAGAGCAAAAGCAAACAGGACAATAGGGACCTACCGGAAATACAGTCGTCTATTGAAGGCATTCAGGACTGTGATTGCGCCTCTCGACCGGGACTAACAGTCATAGCGACCAAGTTGGGTGTGATTGAAAGTGCACAAAACTGGACACGTGAACGTTTTAGTAGACTTGAAGAAAAATAGACACGCATGAGTAGTTCCCGACTGAACCTGCTCTGAAAAGTAAAGCAATTGACATCCATTCTTCAGCACCGGAAAGCTGTCTATTGCCGACTCCTTTCTGCAATTCGTTGGTAAAGCCTATCAGACACAGCATCATCGTCTCTCCGTTTGGCTTATTCGAGCAGTGCATGGCCAAGAGGCTTGAGCACAGCGGACTAAAGTTAAGATCGGTCCATAAGGCCAGCCGAGAGGGAAATTGGCAATGAAAAAGCACCAATTAACTTTGAGATGTGTTCACCCTAATTCGTCTAAGGTGATGAAGGACTGGTAGTAGAATTTTCCCACAATGATATGAGTTGAGCT